CTTATTAATTTGTATAATAGTATATTGCATATATATAGTTTTAATTCAGACCAATTTTTAATTTAGGGCCTGGGGCGGACCGGACCTATTGAGGTTCATGGCATATATACAATTAGGTATCAAATAGAAATTTAAAATAAAAATCGGTTAGAGCTTCTGTTAAAATTAAAAATAAAATAAATAAATAAAACGCATTTCTTGTTGAGTTTTAAACTTTTAGTATATTGGGCCTAACTAAACTAAAAGAAAAACTTCAATTACACTCTTGCTATTGTATAATTAAAGACTAATTAAAAAAGACCAAATAATAATAATAATAATAATAATAATAATAATAACTCACCATGTTGCAACTTAAATCTCGAATTTTTGGCAGGTTTATTCACGGGCAGCTTTGTGACGTTGTTCAGTGTATACGCAATATTGGCCCATTTAAGTGGTATGTTCTCACCAGGAACTGAATCCGCTTACATGGAGACAGTCTACCCCATTTTTAGGTACTTTCATCTACTTTTTCCAAAAATATAAATATTTTTCTACTTGTTATGGTCCACTCTAAACATAATTAATGCAAAAATAAATATATGTAAGTTATATACTTATATAATCATTTATTAAAAAAATGTTTAGAATCAATTAAAAAAAAAAAATAATGAACATGAATATTAATTACCCTTCTATTTTCGATGACAAATTCCGTTAAAACGCAACATATGTTTTTGTGACGTGCAGCATGTTTGCCTTACTAAGCTTACACTTATTCATGTACGGATGCAATCTGTTCATGTGGAAAAGCACGAGAATCAACTACAACTTCATATTCGAATTCCAGCCGAGCACAGCTCTTAAATACAGAGACGCTTTCTTAATTTGCACGTGTTTAATGACTTCAGTTGTTGGGGCTTTGGTCATACACCTAATCTTATTGTCAACGGGCTTTTCACCTCACTGGGTCGACTCAATCCCGGGAATTCTTTTGGTGGTTAAGTGGATTTCCAAATTTGACTTAACACTTAAGCATATACTTTTTATTTTATTTTTTTTTTAAAAAAATATGGCGGTAAGGTTTTATTAGTTACTAATATGTTGTTATACTGCAATTTATTACAGAGCTCTGCCCTGCTTTTGGTATGTCCATTCAATATATTTTATCGGCCGACAAGGTACTGTTTCATTAGAGTCATACGCAACATTGTGTGCTCTCCATTTTACAAGGTACGGCGTCTAATTTGTAAAATATTTTAACACCATGGACAAAATTTATAAGGAATTAAAAGGTTATCAGAACTAATAAAATTGTGTTTACGCAGGTTTTGTTGGTTGATTTCTTCATGGCTGATCAGTTGACTAGTCAGGTAGGTTTAGCATTTCAAACATGAAGAATGCAATATATACTTTCAAATGCAGACCGTAAAAGTAAAAAAAGGAAATAAAAGTAAAAAATTCGGTTATTATTGTGCAGGTTCCGCTATTGAGACACATGGAATCAGCAGCCTGTTATTTTCTGGCGGGAAATTTCAAAACACACCGGTATGAAACGTGCAAGTCTGGAAAGCTTTATAGAGAGCTTGCATATGTCATCTCTTTCGCACCTTACTATTGGCGTGCCATGCAGGTAATTGATACTTATACTTATGCATCATTATTAACCAATATATATATATATATATATCTATATATATATATATATAGAAAATACTATAGTCCCGTGACAGAACAATTCCCCTACATCAAACTCCAATAAGAAACTGTCACATCACTTTTATTTGACTACATCGAAGGGTTATATTGATTTGAAGGAATCATTCCCACACGACTGTAGTATTTTCCAAAAAAGATATATATATAATTTGATAAATAAATTATTAAATCTTTTGGTGATTTTGTCAGTGTGCAAGAAGGTGGTTTGATGAATACAACGTGGACCATCTTGCTAATCTAGGAAAGTACGTTTCGGCTATGGTGGCTGCTGGGGCCAGGCTAACCTACTCCCAGCAGCCATCACAGCTATGGATGGTAATTGTTTTAGTCACATCTGTTCTGGCCACTGTTTACCAGTTGTACTGGGATTTTGTTAAAGATTGGGGACTTTTTGACCCCAAATCCAAAAACCTTTGGCTTAGGGATGAGCTTGTACTCAAGAACAGAGGCATCTACTATGCTTCCATTGTGAGTCAGCTAGTCTTTTTCTAAAATTTCCTACATTTTGTTTCGAATACATTGTAGTTTGATGGAATTTAATTGTTTTCTGGCTAGGCGCTTAACTTTGTATTGAGAGTAGCGTGGGTGGAGACTATGATGAGGTTTAACACGGGGATGTTTGAGTTACGGGTGATCGACTTTTTTCTTGCATCGTTGGAGGTTATTCGACGTGGGCATTGGAATTACTATAGGTAAATGGTAAAAAAAAAAATCATGTTGAGCTTGTTAAATGGAAATTTGTGTAATTGAAAATTTTGATCTGATGTGTTGTGTGGTTTTGCAGATTGGAAAATGAGCATCTGAATAATGTGGGAAAATTCAGAGCGGTGAAAACAGTTCCGTTGCCATTCCGTGAGGCGGAGTCTGACGGGTGAGATTCGATTGTATGTCTATTTGTTAGGCAAAATTGAACCAAAGAAGATGAGATAGATGGAATATATATTCTTGCCTAATGTGTGCATGTATATTCCAGACTGAAAACTGTTCATATATTACCATTTTCAGATTTCTAATTTTATTGAATACGTTGGTTTGCTTTCTCTCAGCCTCAGGTTCGGGAAACTCTATCTTACTTGTGGTTGATTGCAAGTGTAATATATATTGTTCGTGTTTACAATGAAGGAAAAA